CTGTGAGTGCAGGATGGGTGGCTCTCACCAGGGGATGCTGAGCACCCTCAGCACGAGCAGGCAATAGCTTCCGGGGACACATCTTCCAAGGCATTGAATTCCATTCTCCAAGCTCTGTGCAAGCACAGGGCAGCAGGCTGGACACCTGCCCAGCTCAGTGCACAGCACAGCAAAGGGGGAGGAAGGAGGACACGGTGTCAACCGGTGCCATCCTGCTTCACCTACAGTTTCACAGGAGGAGGAGCAGGAAAGGGAGCAGGAGCTCTCCCCTGCCCATCAGCCTTTTGCCTCAGCAGCAATGACCTGGACTCTGCAATCACTTTTCTCTCTCACGGATGTCCCATACCTTTCTATAAACTATTTTTAAAATTAGGGCAGCGGAGTCTTTGGGACAACGAGTTCATTAACTGCCTCCGTGCAAAATCTACCTGCATTTAAATACCGAAGTGCAATCTTCCGCTCATGTTTTATATTGGGATGCCCTATTAAAAATCACCACTGCTTTACTACAGCAAAGCAAAACTAGACAGTGGCCTGTGCAGAGCCGTGCAGTAATTCTGCACTAAATACAAGAGTAATTCAGTATTTGGACAAGCAGGGACTGGATTATGATGATGCTCGGCAGAATCCGGCCCTGCAGAGCCCCCCCATCCCCATTCCTTCCAGCACACTTCAAGCTCTCTTTTTTTAAGGGGAGGAGAAGATACTCCTGACACTGTGAACTGAAACAGTGCTGCCTATCTGAATTTTGCATAAATAGTTTCCCACCACTGTTAGCATTTCACCCAAACGCGTGGCAGCGGCACAGCAAGCCTTAATATAGACAGCCCACCAGCTGCCAACAGGAATTTCAGCACATTGTCAATTATATAAAAATAAGAGGATTTGGGTTGATCCCCTCCACAAAGTTACCCCGGGAGCAATGCCTGTTCCTGTAGGACTCCGCACACCAGACGGGATGGAGATGAACCCGCGAGAGCTTTGGAAAGGTGCCCCGTGTATGACTGGGGTCTGTTAGGTTTGGGACTTGGTCTGTTATCCCAGTCACTGAGATCTGTCCCAGGAAGATCACAATTACCACCAAAAATACCCGGCTGACTCCATTTTGTTACACGGCTCGGCTTAATGGGACTTTCATGGGAGGGTGGCTGCAATGGGATCGCCTCGACATGAGCTCTGCATTTTGATGTGTGCTGTTGACTTCCACAACACGGAGCAATTTGTAATAGCTTTGCCACGCTGTTGTTTTCAAAGCTCCTGCTACATCACAAGCATTTATTTCTGACCACAAAATTACATTTATTCAACAGAAAGCAGCTCAGGGTCTTTAAGAGGTTAACTTCTGGAGTGCTTGGCTGCTCTCCAGCCTCTGTACTCGAATCAGCGCTAACGCAACAGCACACAACAGCACCCAGGCTAGCCGTGATTAATAGAGTGCTGAATACGCTGCTTTCCACATACACACACTTTTCATTCCCTTGCTTCCATAGATCACGGACTTATCCTCAAAATATCTGACTGAAATTGAATTTGGCTTCTCTCTCAACCGTTCATTTCCTATGTTATGCAAGGTTATATCCTTTTCTGCATGAGCAGAACCAAACCAGCTGCAGCTTTTGAGAAGAAAATGTGTTTTCAATTATGAAGCTGGCCTGAATATTGAACCACAGTTCTACTGCTACTCTAATTGAGCCATCATGGAGCGAACCTACAGGAAAGAAATTGTATTAATTAGCTTTGTAAATTTAACATAAGGAAATTAAAGGGGGTGAATATCAGCTCAGGAACACTCCTTGAAAAACACGGAAGGAAAGTACGCCTGAAGTTCTGTAGGCACAGGCATTATTACAGTGCTGATTCAAAGGCGTGATTAGTAGCTCCAGCACACCAAACAGATTTCCAGCTTCTGTTGTCTGCATATGGAAAATTATTAAATTACGCTGCTGACCAAATTAATAGTTTAAAGAGCAATTCAGCTAAGTGGGGAGCCGGAGTGGTCTCATCAGAACGGCACTCTTAGAAGTGCTCGCTTTGTGAGAAGAATCTGAGAAATGGATTTTACAGAAATGAAGCCTAGTGTGTTTGGAGCCCGTGCCTTAAAGGGTTCTCAAATGAGGGATTACTGCATTACTGTTGGACAGTACTGCTATGCCACATGAAAAGAATGCTAATGACCTCAGGAAATCCTTTCCCAGCCTTAAAATATCTATTTGATGACTTCACAAATACGGATTCAGACATTTTATTTCCATACCACAACGTCAGTCCTGTGAATTCACATAGCCCAAGAACGTAAAGTTTTATTTTTAAGATTTCTTGGACAAATATCCATCGGCTCCCATAGACACAGCAATACAGAACTGCCTGGTGGGCAGGAACAGCTCGTCTGGGGGCTGCTGCCAATGTGGAAATGATAATGATTTTATGATTGAATGATAAAGCTCTTAAACCTCCAATTCTGCCTTGCGTTTAACCCAGCACTCCGTGAACAAGCCATGACTAAGATGCATCCTCAGGTGAATGAGAAGTAAGCAAACATGAGATTTAACATCACCAGCAGCTTAGATTTCGTTTCATAACGCTTTTACTTCAACCATCATAATAAAAAAGTTTCTTTTGATTGAGATTAATATCCACAGAACACAGAACGTTCTGGTTTGTGGGTTGGGTTGTTTTTCTGGATGAGTTCGTATTTGAAAGCAAAGTAAAGGGGTAGCAAGGTGTCAATATCCACCTCCATGCTGAGAAGCAGCACTGGTTGCACTGACGGGCGCGTTTATTTTAAAAAGTGAACTAGCCACAGTTTTACAAGCAGATGTCCCATAAAGCATGCTCAGGAGGATATTTAATTACCCGAGCTTAAGGCAACCTCTCCAAGTCACATCAGGCTTGTGAGGGTACAGTTCAAGGAGAGTTTAAGTCAACCTGTGCTGGCCCAGCTGCACCTCCTGCCCTCGGCTCTGCCCTGCTGCCTCTGCCAATCCTGCAGAGCCTGCAGAGAGCTGCATCAGCCACTGACCTGGCAGAAAACAACGCCAGCAAAAAGGGGAAAAAAGAAAACGTGCTCCTGAGGGCTCAGTGCAGCAGCAGCAGTGTGGAGGTGAGGCAGGAGCTGGGGAGGCAGCCCAGGGCTCAGCCAGAGCCACATAAAGCTCCGTGTGTGCCTCTGATTGTTACAGAACGGCACGTTCTCATCTTCTGGCTCTCCCTCAGTGCCCAGAGCCTGCAGAAAACATGGCATCCCACATGGGATTTGCAAAAGCTACTTCCCTTCTCTGGCAGAGTGATAATTTCACAGCGTAAGGCAAAGTGTCTCCAGTGGAACTGACATGGAGAAAAGCCTACATGCTGCATGGAACCTCTTTTTGGCCCACCTGCAGCATTCAGCTCATCAGCCTTCAGAAAGCCTTAACAACAGAGACCAAACATGATCACATCAGTTCTTCCAGGTTTCTGAAAGCCCGTACAGATTAGAGAAACCAGAATCACTGGATATGAGATTCATCAGCACAGTACTGTGATTTATGTGTGCTTTGCTTCAGTAAGAGGGGGTTTCTACCAATGAATTTTACTCTTAGACTTTATGAGATTGAATTTATACCAACACAAGCCTCGCTCTTACATTAGTGAAGCAGATATCTATGCAGGAAGAGTGTCTATGAGCCAAGCCAAGGCCTCCAACAGGCGAGATCTAATGGCAGGATATTCCTTCACTGTAGCAAAACTTGGATTTATGGTTCTTACTTGATCCTCAGACATTCCCTTCATTAAAGAACAGTGCTGAAAGCATACATACACTTCAGTCAGTGCTTTGCTAGCTTGAAACTAAAGTGAAAAGGTTTAAGAGCACAGCAGTTCTGAAGTGTAAATTTCTACTGGCAAATGGACTCACACAAGTCATTCTTTGTTCTCACAGATTGCTATTAGGTATATCAAGGACAAAGTTGTTCTACTTATTTATTTATTTATAGCAGTACTTGGGAAATCGGAGAGTAAACTAAGAGTTCCACGCTGCTTTTAAGATGAGAAATTGTTGCTTATTTGGGATACACGTTCAGCAGGATGTGCAAGCAATCAGAAATGCAACCCTCATTACAGATAATAGGAGTTGTGCACTTAATTCTCTAGGCAGCCTTCTAAAAACACGCTCCTGAATTTCTCTGCGCGCTGATGGGAACTGCAGCAGCACAACATCAGCCAACACCTTATTACAGATCGACAAAGCCCAAAGTGCTGCTGCTGTGACTGAGCTGAGTTCAGGAGCAGAGCTCTGCAGCAGAACACAAAGCGTGCGCCAACCCCAACCCAGGCACTGATAAAGAGAAACTTGCCAACTCTTTACACAGCACCGTCCTGAAGGAGCGCAACATCCCCTGCCCGGCCTTCCCTTAGTGAGGGAGTGCTTCAGCTAAAAAGCCCCATTCTGAGAGTGGTTCCGCTGCCTTTTCCTATAGAAACTCTTCAAAATAACACCACTTGGCTTTTAAAGCTGTGATCGCTCTGATCATGCACTTCTCATGGAGCAGTGTGAAGAGACACCAAGAACGAGCCAGGCCTGGAGCTGTGAGCACTTCGTTGGTTTTCCAACCAACACCTGCCACCTTTGAGCCTTCCAACAAGCCCTCTAAAAAACAGCTAAAATGCAGTCTTTTATAGCTGGAACAACGTGTGGTATCTTCATAGTTTTGCACACATACACCACATTGAGTTCATTAAGCACACAAACCACCAAGTCACCGAGGCATACCGAGCTAGTGTGTGCACCTGAGTCACAGCAGAAAGCTTACATTCAGGGCTGCTAAATGCAGTGGGACTGGATCAGTTTAGCTTGTCCAGCACAAATGCAATGTATCACATGCATGCCAGCACACAGGGAAGCAGAACCCCTGCAATGCTCCGTGCTCACAGCTTCCATTCTGGCCTAGCCGTGCTGACAGGCTGTGGGCACACTGATCACATGGAGCAAAAACAAAAGCACAAAGAGAAGCAGAAGCCCTTACCTCTCCCTGGAAACTCTTCAGTAGTGGAGCTACCTGTTTGCGCAGGTCCTGGAAGACAGAAGAAAATATTCCATCAGACAAATGTGAAAGGATGTGTTGTTGTCAAGTTATCTCTAACTCTGCTTTTGGGTCTGGAATACTGCTTACGACGTGGCTGTATTTTGCGGGAGCTTTGATTAAAGTAGAAGTACATCTAAAATTAAGTTTGAACAAGTCTGCATTTCCAGCTTGACACGTACCTGTATGTGTTGTGATAGTATTAATTAACAAAACTGCACTGATGTTAGGTAAGCACTGAACGTCTCCAATCTCATCATTCAGCTGAAACACTAATACGATTAGCAGCAAATGCCTCTATCTACCTACACAGCAGCTACACCTCTGAACTTATCCCACACGTGGAAGCCAGGCTTAAAGAAATATGACTGGACCATCATTCCAGCTGGGAGTTCCGTCATTTTGTACAGGGCCTGATTTATCTGTTATTCTCTCAAGACTGCTCTGCCTTCAGCCATCAGAGAACTGGAGATAGCCACATTGAAGATGAGAGAATTGTTTGTTGATTTCTGTATACTCAAGTATTTCTTCTCCAGAATTTCAACACATCATACTACTGAATGCGCTAAAATGCTGCCTACAGAAACGTCTAGAAGTTTCTAGCATAGTTTTACTCAGCAACCAACACAAGACAGGACAGCAGGAGTAGTTACACCTTCTATAAAACTCTCAGGGGCCCCACTGTTCAGCTGACTCAGGTCTCATTTTCTTAGCAGTTCTCAGAAATACCATCACATGCATGCCAGCAGAGTGAGGTCCTGTGACTTAACAGTGGACCCTCTCCATTACGCACAGCCAAAAAACTTCTTACACAGTCTGACGATGACAGAACAAGGGGGAATGGCTCTAAACTAAAGAGGGGAGATTTATGTTAGACATGGGGGGAAATTCTTTCGTCAGAGGGCAGTGAGGCCCCGGCTCAGAAATCATCCCTGGAGGGACCCAAGGCCATGGATGGGCCCTGGGCAACCTGAGCCAGGGGGGCACCCAGCCCATGGCAGGGGTCGTGGCTGGGGGCTGTGAGTCCCTTCCAACCCAGCCATTCTGTGAGTCTGTGACTCCATTTCTGCCATCATCTTCCACTGCTGAGGCACAAGCAGTAACTGCACAGCGCATCTGCAGCCAGAAAGAAAGCGCAGGAGGCGCAGCCCAAGGCCCTGGCCTTGCGTGGCTCCAGCAGGGCAGCACTGAGGCTGGTCACCCAGGACGGGTGGCCCCGTCAGAACAGTGGGTCACCATAAAAATGTGGGACACTCTCTTTTCCAGTGCAAAAACGCTTCTGTCTAAAGTCATGCAGCAAGTTGGACATCAAACCACACACCAAAATACCCTCAGCACCGGGTTTAGTCTGATTTGCTGAAGGAAAAGCAGGCTTTTGGAGAAGCGGTTGTTGTCATTTAAATGACAAGTGGCAGAGAGAGCTGGAGAAGCAGGAGCTCTTGCACTCCCTGAGAGATGGCTTAGGGGGCTGAACGTAAATGAAGCTATCAAAGACAAATGATTGGCCAAATTTCACTGCTTTCCTGGTTACTGCAGTACCACACAGCTAATCCCCATCAAGCTCAGGATAATGTCACTGCTCTATAAGCTCATTCTTCCGTACCAAACCCATAAACGCTTCTGTTTTTACACCTTAATGCTTCCTGATATTTTCTGTCGTCTGTTTTGGGACAGAAGAAGGGTAAGTGCTGCCCATGTGCACCACGACTGCCTGTCAGTAATGCCTCTCCCAGAGCAGAGCAGCAGGTTGAGCAGCTTTTCCCATCTCCTGACTACAGAGGGAGGCCAGGAGGCTTTGCACGTTTTGTAATGTGTTTTCCTTGTAGCCCGATGATGATGCCATCAAAGAAAACACAAAACCATCACAGGCAAAATAAATGCCTGTATTTGGGGCCAAAATCTTAATGCACGCTGAAATATAAAGTGAGACGCACGATGTACAGTCAGGACGCTGGCATCCTTTTAAACTTCATCAAACAGGGAAAAATTACACCACTCAGGCAAAGCAGCACTTCATGAAAGTGGAAACAGAGGAGGTTTAACCCCTGACCAACCCCAAGCCTTGCTGCACAGCTGTCATGTACCCAGCACTGCTCCCAGTGCCAATGCACGGGCACCAACCCCACCTGCCTGCACAGACAGCAAAGCCTCGTGAGGCTGTTCACTAAGATAACCCTACCTGCATGCAGGTCTCTGGGCAGACAGCACGGCTGAGGAACACACCTTCCCTGTGCCCTGCTTGTGTGCCTGCTTCGCCCCAGCTAAACAGCATCCATCTCCAGACAGCTCACAGCAAAAGGGAAGTGCAAATAAACAGGCAGAAATCTGAACCACATATGCCACGAGTCACCAGCAAACACTGTGCTGGTGACATTTCTTTTTGGCAGCTTGGAAAATTTCCAAATCGGACTCGGTCTTGAAATCCGACATTAACATCAAATGGAATTTTACCTTCTTTGTCACTAAACTGAACAGAAGGAAGGACATTAAGTTTGGGCCCGGGGGAGCGAGCGGGGCCGGTAGCAAGGAAACCGTGTTTGAGTGTGGTGGCCTTCAGTGCCTGGGCTGCCATCAGAACAGGAAAGGTGCTCAGATGCTCACATGCAGCCTGCATCACCGCCCCCCAGCAGAGCAGCTACAACCATACGTGCAACTGAACACGAAAACAAGTGGTAATTTATCAGCACAACGCAGTGCCGTATCAGAGCGCTCCGGTACAATGGCATTATCTGCCTGCTTCCCTGTGCTGCCCAGAGTGCTCGGTCTCCCTCTCTGCAGATGATGTATTGGGATGGAGCTGTTTTCTGAACAAGACTCTATCACAGACAAACTCGATATCTGAAGCAGAGACGATGAATTAGGATGCTGTATCATTGTCTGAATCAAATCTGATAGCTGAAAGCTAATGCAGCCTTTTCCTCTTTTCAGGAGCACAAACAACTGGTTTATATTTTGATTAAGCAGCCACACAATGAAATCCGAATCCAAACAATTTTTAACTCCCTTTCCATTCGCATTAAAAATAACTCTCTGGAAAATAAGCCAAGAATAAATCTATGGGAAAAACCTGGGCGACAAACGCATCGTTCACACAACTGCATTATTTCTTTCTATCTCAATACACAGCGCAGTACAAAGGACACATCAGCGGTCAGGGTACCAACGCCGTGCTGGTAATTTACTGGAGGTCTGAAGCTGCACAGCATCTTCTGATCTCCCCTCAGACTCTCGATCTCATTTACTTCCCAAACGCTTATCTCTGAATGTCACAACAAGAGCCCTCTGACCCCGGTTTGATAAAGCAGCACGGGAAGCTGAGCCCGACCTGCACGCACCTTCATCATCTGCGCAGCTATCGTGCTGCTGTGAAACAGAACCAAACCAAAAGAAATGGGCAACATCATTTCCTATGCCTGTGGCCACACTTCCCATATCTGCTCCATGTATCACCTCCCTGAGAGCAACACGGGCTGCCAGCTGCGCTGGGAAGGGCAGACGTCCCTGTGAGCCACAGCCACCTGCAGCACTGCTGACATCTCCGAGCTGCCCTGCCCCCAGCCAGCTGCCCACACTGCCACAACCCATCCCTTTGCATTCCCTCCTCGTTAGCCCACGCAGAACGAGGAGCTCAGGCCTGGTGAGGCTGAGCCTCCAACCCCAGGCACCTCCTGTGAGAGCTGCGAAACGATGATCAACCAACCAACCAACCAAGCACTGGAAGCCCAAGAGCCCAACAGGTTTGCTGCATGTATGTATCTGTCACCTACAGAGAAGGAAGGGCACAGCCCCAGGAGGAGCCCTCCTGCCAGCCCCTCTTGTGGGCCCATTGCTGCCTGCTGCTGAGATGGGACGGCTGCAAAGAAATGCAGCACCTACAGCTCCTCCATCAGAGATCCTGGGCACACGCATGGAGGTGCAACATGGGAAACAAGGCTTTGTCTCTGATTGCTTTCACTTAGCGTTGCTCTGAAACTGACACCCCAGACAGCTGTCCAAACAGGCACTGTGCAGCAGCCCACATGACTTATTTAATTCCTAAAATATAAGACAAATTAAATCATACAAGCAAACCATTTATTGCTCAAGCTAAACTACGATTTAATGAGATATAAAAGCTCTTATTGCTTAAGGGTGCTAAAGTATTTACTTGGAATCCGATCGTTAAAGAATGAATCACAATGTTAACCATTTTCTATTACTTTGTAGTTATTTGGATATAGTAACACAAAAAGATGTGGATTTTTAAGGGACATTTATAGATAGGTTTCAACACAGCACCATGATAAATAAAAAATCCCAATTTGCAGTCGCTGAATGTACACCGCAGCGTTCTGAAATATTTCAGCTCCCAGATCTTGTGCAAATTCCATTAGCTTTAATTATTTATTAGCAGTAGATTTAGATTACTGTTCTTGACCTATTTTTCAGCGCACGGACCCACCCAGCAAGAAGTGAAAAAATATTCCATTTGTGAAGGGCTGTGAGGTGTGGGCTCCGAGCTGCGAGGAGGAGCGGAGCAAAACACATGTGCTGTGATTCAGAGGGAGATGCTGACACTGTGGGGAGGTTAGCAGGGCATGCACTGCAGGATGGAGACGGGAGGAGACGCCCCGAAATGAGGCAGGTTGTGCTGGGCAGCATCCTCAGTCCTGCAGAATAGCGAGCCCAACAGCTGAGTGCTGGTGGAAATCCCCTCCTTGCTCCACAGTGTGGCTCCCAGTAACCACTGAGCATCTGGGGGCTCATCCCGTGTCCTGTGCTGGTGGAGATAAACCCTGCTTCTCTGGGCAGGAGGAAAGTGGAGCACTGGCAGAGGTGTCCCACGGCTGCGCTGCTGCGGCTGCCACTTTGCTCTGTGGCACTGCTCACTTGAACAAATCTGAACGCAATCTTCTTTCAGCTTCTTCCAAGCTCAAATAAACTGAAAGCTAGCAAGTTTACCCTGGGCTTATGCAGCAACGTATAAACAGACCAGCTACCTCACAACTGTT